TGTGGAGCCTAATCTTTTGCAGCATAGACAGTCAAACCACACCCATAGCCCTTCAAGCTAATCTTTAATGTAGACAGTTGAGTTTCTTGCACACGAGCAGCAGAACCTTAAAGTTCACTCTAAACCTCCCAGAGAACCAGCATCACTTTACAGAGGATGGGGGTTATGTGCCAGTCCAGAGTACTTTTAGCTAGAACATGGGCCACTGAAGTTTGGGTGTACTGAAACCCGTTGAATGCTTGACATTATACCCCTGCAGGTAAGGCATAAGTGTAAGCTAATCTTGATTAAGTATAAGCGTGTGCCAGTATTTCTGCGTCGGGGCAAGTCCCTTAACCGAGCAAAGTTCCACAGGTGAAAGAATGTCCCTTTGAGGTTTCTAACTTTACATGAGAAACCCAGAATTAAAAGCAACACCAAGGTTTCTGCCATTTCCTTTAAAAACAGTAGAGTTTAAAAACGGAGAGCCTGTTTTCAAAGTTTAAATGAGTACACCTCAATTCTAGGCCAACACCAGAACGAGAGGCACATGAGTTGTATTCATTAGCGTTACAAACCTGTTATTCTGGCCTTCAATTTCAGTGTCAAAAGGTCAGTCTCTCCCAATTCTGAATGTCCACAAAAGATAAAATATGGGAAATTATCTTGTTTTTTAGTGTTATTACTATTAGATCTTCTTTGTATTCTTCTATTCCTTTATCCTGAGAGGTCATAATATATTTACTGGCGCTTTCCCATCTTCAATCAACATCTGTTTTTCTCTTTAAAATGGCAAACAGAATTGCATTTGCTTAAATAGATTTGTTTGGTCTATTTTTTGTGTGTTAGATGGTATCTGCCTTTGCAATTTACTTTTCTTTTCTTATCCATTAGTTTTTTTTTCTTACCCTCCGGGAAGAAGCCGAGAGGGCTTTGACAGATGTAAATTTGACATGGATTGGCAGTGCTTGGAAGATGCTGATAAGAAATTGGTCCTGCATTTCCTTCCGTTCTGAAGGAGCACGGCTAACTCCAGGCTCCTTTTTCACATGCAAATGAAGTCTGCCAGACCGCTCGGTCAGGGGATGAAAGAAGACTCCCGCTGTAAAGCTCCTCGGGCCCGTTTCTGGTTTTGTGGGCTGCAGCAGCTTTTTAGAAACCTACAGCCAGGTGCTGCTGCTGCTTGCAGGCCTGTTGCCCTGGAGTGGGAGGACATTCACAGAGCCGAAGCCGCGCTGATCGTATTGCTCCTCTGCTTCGGCGTTGCAGTTTGCACGGCAGCCTCCAGCTCGTAAAAAAGTGCTAGATGGATCTCGGCGCCCTGCAGCGGGACGGTTCTTGGTTGCTCACGGGCTGCTGCTGGCGATGGGGGCACGCCGATCCCTCTGGACCGGGCGCCCTCTCAATATTTGACCTGGCCATCAACTGTGCTGTTGATCAATATAGGGCATTTCCAGTGGCTTTTGATTTTAATTAAAACAGCTCATGGGCTCTAGAAACTACCGTGCTCCGTGGACTGGTAAAATAAAAAATGTGGATCCATGATGTGAAACAGCCTAAAAAGAGTTTGTGTACGTCTGTACAGTACGAGCGCAGTCTTCACTCCCTATTGGAAAAGTGCCCATAGTTCTTTCCAGTTGTAGCTTCAGGGTCCCCATGGTGGTATTGTCTCATTAACAGTCTCCACACCTGACAATTTTCTGCAGGGGTCCTGTCAAGCCCAGGGAAAAAGCCACATTAAAATACCTATTAAAATCTCCGTCACTCACACTCACACTCACACACATCTTCTGATTGTACTACGGTGTTCACATTCATTTGCCCAGTTTCTGGGGGCCAAGGCTGGTCTCGGCAGGGCTCCTACAGGACTGCTTTGCCCTTTTGTCTGTTTTTACCGGGAATCCTGGGGAACTCCTGGACAAGTCTCCCTCGTAGCCCTGCTCCTCTTCCCGTTGTTCCCCTGCACGTTGGTACGCAGTGCAAGTGGCAGTTCCATATTTTATCTGAAACGGTTTTCACACAGTTTAATTTTTTTTGGTTTAACCCTAATCTTTATTTCATTGCATGTTCTCTAATATTTGCCAAGCGTCTCGTGTGTTTTATTTATAGCGTGTTCTGTACACTGAGGTGCCATTTCTTTATCTGGGCCATTTGTTTGTGGGTGCGAATAAATCATTCCAGTGCACCTAAAATGTGTACAGTTTAAAACAGAAATCTCTTATGCTGAATAAAAATGTGTTGTAGACACTCCTATAAATCAGCCGTGAAGTGTGATATTTCCCAGCTGGAATGAGATGCAGAGTTTTTATCACACAATTGCAGGTGCAGCTTGGACCTGCTGTGCTGCTTCCGTGTGAATTGACTTCCTTTGTGACTGCAGAGCTCTCTGTGATTGCTGAGAGTCCATTCAGCGCATGAAGGTCAAGGGACGTATCCTGCGTTTACCAAGGCTCTGCCCCCAGCCTGAAGGTTTTTAACAGACAGGCTGCCAGAAGGAGACCTGCACAGAAAGCAGAGATGTGGTGTCATTTCTGTTCCAAATGGTACTTCTAGTCGAGGCTGTGTTTTATGAGGCTATGAGAGGTGGTGAACCAGAGTGAAATTAAATTTGCTTTGCTGTGCTGTGCTTCAGTCAGCCCAGTTCTGCTGTGAGAAAGAAGCAAACCTCCTGGCGCAGATGGGGCTCCAGTTCAGTTCATCTTGGGTTTTATATGCAGCAGGCTGTCGGGGGAAAAACGGCTGTGAAGAATTTCTGGGATTTTCATGCTTAATTGCCTTATTTTGAGTGAACATGCACAAATATCTGTCCATTTGTTATCGGGGAAAACTTGCCTATTCCAAGGGTGGATCTTGGGAACCTGGAGCCAGTCTTGCAAGCATGAAGTGGGGCTACCCTCCAGATTGGAGGCCACAGGCGCGCTCACCCGATTCAGAGACGGCACTCAACTTAGCTGGGACGGAAGGGAGGAAGAGACCGGAGGCCGTAGCAAAAACCCCACTTGAATTAACAGGGAAAGTGCAAACTCTGCCGGGAAAGGAGTCCCAGTCTGGGATTGAAAAAGGACCTAACTGTGCTAACTGCCGCACGGTCATAGCTCCGAGTTTAAAAAGAACTGAGTGGTGTTGTTGTTGTTGTTGTTCTTCAGTGCTATGCTGTGTGTGTAATCAGCTGTAGCTTGCATAACCTGAAGTAGTTGCAGTGAGGGCTGTGCTTTGTCTTGTCCCTTCCTCAGGGAGTTGTAACACCGAAGCATGTCAGGGTCTCGCGAGTCGTTTCCTCATCATGGGGTGACTCGGGGGGAGAGTGCTGCTTGCGTTTCCACAGGACCTACTCCACAGCAGCCTCTCTGGCTGGTTTATTTATGTCCACGGATGTATGCATTTTACAACTTGCTGTCTCAGGAAGGCTGGAAGTATCGCCAAGGATATCAGTCATCCTGGTTTCTCACCTTTTCCCCCCACTTGCCTCTGGTAGGCATTATAGGAGCATAAAGACATGAACTTCCAGATTCAGAGAGAGTCTCTTCCCACACACGGTCAGATTACTGAATTCTACCCCAACCACTGGCGCGCACTGTTTTTTTTCCCCCCCTCTCATACTGACTTTTTTTTGTTAAGTTGTATGTTATTTAACTTGTTGTTGCTGCTGCTATTCTGTGTTTGTTTTTGGCGATTCCTTTTATGTCTCTGTATTGGAGCATACATGCAAATAAGCGTTTCATTGCACTTGTGCATATGACAAATAAACTGAACTGAACCGGTAAAGAACCAAAATACCAGTCAGGACTGTTTTTCACCAGCTAGGTCCGGCAGTACCTAACGAGGTTAGTGGGTGTGGCAGTAATGAGATGATCAGAGAACTCTAGAGGCCGGGAATCTAGATCTCGGATTATTTTGGTGTGGAAAACCTAAGAGCAGAATATACATCTCATGGCACAATAATAGCATTAAATATACAGCAAGATTACTTCAGCTTACTCTCCTTGGAACGCGTACTGGGAGAGAGAGCCTTGCCTTTGCCCCTCTGCTTGTAGGCAAGTTAACATTCACACAGGCTAGGAAGGCAGCGTAGGTTAAAAAAACAGTAATTAAATCTCTTCATGTTTCTAATGTTACTGCTGTTTTTGTTTCCATTGAAATAAAGGCAGATGATGTGTACTTTTCAGCACCTCACGATTTATTTGACGGCCCCACATAGAATTTCCCAGTACATCGGTTGTTGTCTCTGGGAGTTCTCACTGGCCCCGCGTTTCAGAAAAGAGGAGCAGGGTAGTTGTTCATCCTGCCTTTGTGCCACGCACATGGTTTCAACGTAACCAAATTTTGAAACGAGTTATGCAATTGTATTACAGTACTTCAGCATATCCTAGCTCACCGGATACCTTATGATTTCTACATGCAATTCAAATGGTGTACAGTACTCTCAACTTTGCTTTTGCCTTCTATTTCGTCACCTTTAGTTGTGGTTTTACCTATGTTATTTTTGATTTATCATAAATAACAAATTAACAATAATTTTCAGTTAATTGCCTCCAGACGGCAGGGTGAGGTCTGTTCCTACAAACCAGATTATTGTCTGTCACTATGGAACTGTAGGTCCACTTAGGCTGGTTGTTTTAAAAGGCACCACATGCGTACAGATTGGGGTGTGTATTGTGGGGTCTTCTGTTCCTAGGAGCAGATTAGCCCGGGCTGACGTTTTGCCTTGGTTCTGTTATCTGAGCAGGGGGAGACTGACTGAGCCAAGCCCTGTCATCAGCGGTGCAGGTTGGCCAAGTGGAGGAGTGGTACAAAAGGGCATCTTTGTAGACCACTGTTTCTTGATTATCCCCTGGCTAGTTTCTCTCCACTTCCACTTACTTCTGTAAACTCTTGACCTTTTCTGAAACCATGAGGATTTAATAAAAAGATTAACTTTGCATTTGTTTGCATTCTTAAGTCCTTCTGCCTTCATTTTGCCTTTGTTCTGCTAGTGGAGAGAGTTCTCTTCATCTGACCTGTTCGTCTTCTCCGTCTTGCAGGTCATTATGGAAACCCTTTGAATAAGTATATCCGGCACTATGAGGGCTTGTCGTATGACACAGATGTTCTGCATCAGAAACACCAGCGAGCCAAGAGGGCCCTGTCCCACGAGGAGAGGTTTGTGCATCTGGATTTCCATGCTCATGGCAGGTGAGTCCATGTTCTCTCTCTTTTTTTTCTTTCTCCTTCTTGACCTTTTGGCTCAGCCATAACATTCTTAAAGATAACGACACGAGGCATTGCAGTCTGTACAGTAAGGGAGATGTGGCAATGGTAAGTCGGTAGCCGAGCAGAACGACTTCTGCTCTTGGCGCTAGATAGCAAGAGGCAAAGGTCGTTTGTTGTGGCCAGCGGACACTGCAGCGCTTTAAAGAGGCACCTGTTTGAAACGGTTTTGTGCAAACACCCGTCTCCAGCAAGTGAACTTCCCACTATCCTTTGTTTTGTGTCCCAGAGATCTTTCGAAAGTAACCACAGTGATTGCCACCTTCTTTGAAATTTATTTTGGGCTGCAGTATTTGCACATGGCATACGTCATGATTAAAAAAAAAAAAGAAATCTGAACCAGTTACAACCAACATGAGCAGCTGTGCCCTTCCTCTGAAGAAGTCTTTGGGTTGTCCTCCCACTGTCTTCTGTTCAAAGTGTGTTGGCTGAGGCAGGACATTGGAAGAGATGGTCTCCGACTGAGGGGGGGAAAAAGAGGAAACTAGGATGTGCACATGCATACAGAAAATCATTTCTGGAGTCAAATGAGCAAGTGGAAATGCGCATGTTCAGATTTCACTATGTTGAAATATCATTGGTTCTTTCATTCCCCCCTCCCCCCAAGAGTGTGCTTGTTGTTCTAGAGTAAAGGGGGGAGAAACTGTCTACTCACCACACTCTTGCACTATTTGTATTTATAGGCAGAAAACTGAAACTGAATTATCATGACCAAATCTGGATTGAGTCTTTTTGTAGTGGCTATTGCTGTATGGAGGTAAAATGCTCCAGTTTAGGCCGTAAACGTAAAGCATTGTCAGCAGAACAAATGTTTAATAACAGAGCATTTCACACCTGCAGCAGTATATTTAACCAGTCATCGATACGCATTAAGAACATTCACTTGCGCGCTTTGATTACACACAGTATCGATATTCCTTAAAATTAAGATGAAAGTTCTTTCGATCCAAAACATTAATACTGGGATGAAGGCAATCCTGGTGCTCGTCGGAAAGAGGAATCGGTCACAGTGGAAGGAAAACCAAAGGCGTCTTGCTTCCATATTCTCTACCTGCCCTGGGCTTTTATAGACTTCAAGGCCCCTCCCCCTTATTCTCATTGGCTATATGCAAATGTTTAGTGATTTATTGGACCACACATAATAAACAGGGGAGGAGCAATCTACCACATGCTCAGATTTGGAAGCTGCCATTTTGTGTCTCCTCCAGGTCAATACAAGGATACATAAACTTGCACTTCTTCATGCACACAACAGCCGATAGGAGTGCAGTAAATAAATGACATTGGCCATAGGGCAACTTGAAACAGAACAGAAAAAGTTAGAAAATTATTAACCCTTTGTTTTGCTTGAAAATTGTGGGACATTGTTGTATAAGGAAAAGAGCTGATGCTAGCTTGACAAAACCCAGTACACACCCTTCTCTTAAGCTTCCTCTAGTAAATTGCACTCAGCTCCTTGTCACATGTCCAAGAAAACTAGCTGTTTCAGGAAAAAAAGCCCAAAGACTTCAGATATGGAGCAGGTTGTTAAAGGACTAAATATAGTTATTCTTGAAAAGCATTTTGTGGTGGGTGATAAAGAACCTGATTTCTGATGGACTTTAATCAAGAAATAAATCTCCTAGCACTTTTATTACATTTTTCCTTTATAGAGGAATGATTAATTAGTGTGGGATAATGAGCCGCCATGTTTTTACCAACCTGCTTGGTGATGCATTGATGGAATTAACATTTCATGAAGCCTGTTTAAGGCCCATCATTAGAGGATATTCTCTCTTCATAAAAGCAGCCTACATGATGAGTTCAGTTTTTATTTTCTTTTGGAGTTAAAAATTGCAGCAGTGCTTTAATCAATGGTTAAAGGTGTTGGTAAATAACCTGCATCTACAACACAGTGCAGCTTCCTAGCTGGTTAGCTGGAGTGTCTTTAGACCAATACAGAATGAACCTGTCCCACGCAGGCTGCTGTACTCATTTTGAAGACTAGTTCTGGAACAGGGTGGCTTGGTGGTCAGCATTGCTGCTGCCCTGGGTTCAATTCCTGGGGTGCTGTCTGTGTGGAGTTTGCATGTTCTCCTCATGTTCACGTGGGTTTCCTTCCACAGTCCAAAGACATGCTGGGCGGTTAATTGGCCTCTGGGAGACTTTGGCCCTGGCGTGAGTGTCTGTCTGTACCCTGTGATGGATGGGACGCCAGTTCAGGGTGTATCCTGCCTCCTGCTCGTTTCTTGTCGGGATAGGCTCCAGCTCCCCCAGGACACTGTATTTGATGAAGGGGTTGGAAAAATGGATGGGTGGTTCTTGAATGGTAGTGTGTGATTCTATGAAAATGGAAAAATGCAATTCTGCTCTTAAGGCTGATCAAGTGCAGCTGTGTTTTTTCTCTCATCCAACATCCTTGTCTGCGCCCATTGCCATCTGTGCTGCAGTCCCATAAATTACATATATAATGCAATGCAGATGTTTTTTTTTCATTATACCATCCCGATATCATGTCCCACTGGCCCACTATCCCCCCCACCCCCCCAAAATGATCGGATGCTTGAAGAGCGCAAGGGGCTACTAGTTACTTCAAGTGGTCAGTTGAAACCCTGTGGCCGGACTGCCTGACTGCTTGGTGAGGTAACGGCCCAGGTGGAAAAAGAGGGGTCAAGTTTGAGGTGCAAATCGCTCTCTGATGTCTGCCGCCTTCGTACAGGGGTATGGTTCGAACGATGTGGTCTGCAATGCCCTTTCTTCTGCTGCTGGTGTGCAACATGAGTATGACATTGACTAACCTCCGTAATATAATGGGGGGGGGGGGGAAGAATTTAATTGCACAGTGTAACATGCCGTAAGCAGGTGTTGGAAGCAGTGCAGCTTTGGCTTCAAGATCCCTTTTCAGGTCCCTCCTAATTGAGGGCTGTCTACATGGCACACATTCTGCTCCCAGCTCCTGTGTGCTTTCAGACAGCCTCCCAGAGCCTCAACTTTGACAGACCGACAGCCTGACCTTGACCCTGCTGGATTAGGGTCTTATTACTTCTGTAAAAAACCCTGCACAGGAGCCTCTTCTGGAAGGGCTGGCAGGGGGTGGGAGAGGCAGAGAAGGGGCCTTCTGTGTCGTATGTTCTTTCCCTTATTTAATCTCTCCGTTCTTGGCTTCTCTCGCCCCTGGTTGCTCCAGCACGTCTTGCATTAAGTGCGTCGAGGAACGCTACATAATTATTTTTCATTCTCATCTGTCATCCGAGGAGACACAGCCGAAGAAATAAAAAGAAAGATTTAAAATTCATAGCGGCATTTCAGATTGCCTCTGCAAGCTCAGTCTCTTATTTATAAAGATTGTACTTCTGCCTTGGGCTCAGATACAGCTTCTGCTGATTCTGCCAGATAGGGGGGAGGGTTCAGTTTAGTTGTCTGCCGAACAGTTGAGTTTGAATCGATGTGTACAAAGCTGTGTTCTTGTCGTTGGCATCTGCAGAGGTTCACTGAGCATTGCAGAGAGAGAGAGAGAAAAGGCAACTTGTTCCATATAGCAGTTTCTTCAGCTGATGGCTGTTCAGGATTGTACTGCTAGTGTGCTAAATCAGGGGCCGTTTTCAGAATTCATTTCTCCAAGCACTTTTTTTAGAAAGACTTTCTATTCAGTATTTCTACAGTATTTCTGGCTAGAAATGTAGCCAGACTGAGTCCAGCAGTCAAAGGGATTTTCTGCAATAGTTGATTTTTCTCAAACACTCCAAATTCTAGTAAGTGACAGGTGTCTTGTGTAAGCATATATCCTATTTTGCAGTAGTGCAAAGAGTCGGCTTTCTGCGGTTTTTAGCAAGACTGCTTAAGTGCTGGGAATCTCCATTATGATTTTTTTTTTAGATCACCATTTTAACCTGTTCCCTGATTTCTGCTGACTTGTGGTTTTACAGGAATATTTGAACTTATCTCAGCATTTCTAAATAAAACGCATTGCTCCTCAAGCTTAACCAGAGTTTAACAGGGCATTGTCTCCTCTCAGTATAAGCAGTCTGTGACTAAGGTCAGATTTCTAACCTTTCTACAATTGTTCCAGCTCAGCTGCGGATTGGGGAAAGTGCTGTAAGTCATCGTCATGCCAGTCATGTCTGTTATATGCCTAGGTAGAATTTGATGGTCGCATTCAATGGGAAATCAAACAATTAAGTCTTCAGTGCTTGTCAGGGGTACAAATAAATCCTAAATGCTTTGGAAACTACGGAAAAACAGATCATTTGACCTGTAAATCAAACCCATTCTGCAGGCATATCCTCAGTAATTTAGTGTTGGATAATCTTGTGGATTTGTAATTTGTTTTTTAACCTCCAAACAAAAGGCCTCCACTAATTAGGTAAGAGGCTTAGCAGTGCAACATGTTTATCTGCATTGACACGCTTACTCCAAGTGTATTGGCTATTTTATTTACTCCCCGATTGACACTGTCAGTGTCTACCACCTGCAGTAGTAGGCCTTTATATGACCAGGTGAGCTGGAGAGAGATGTTAGTGCTACAGAAATGAGAATCCAGCATCACTGTCATGTCAGTCAGGAACTGCTTTTTAATTTTTTAATTCCAGTGAAACTCCGCACGCTTCTTCTACCATTTTCTCTCGCCCTCTCCCATCCCTGTCATGCAGAAAGTATAAGACTCCTTGAACCTTGTGCCAGCTCTTCTCAGGCGCTGTCCTTCACCACGGTGGCCTGTCGTACCGGAGGAGCTGTAGCGCCACCAGCTCTCTTCACTCCGGCTTCTTGGGGGGGGGGGGGGTTGGGTTCCGAAAAGTGACCGTCCTCAGTCCTTCCTGGCTCCAGCACGTGCTCTTTGCTCGTGGAGAAACGTGTGGCAGGGACGGCGAGAGTCTGTCCAGATCATGAACCCCATGCCTGACTGAAAAGGCGTGAAAATGCCGAGTGTTCATCTTTCTCACGATTAT